TAGTAATTAACAATTAGTAATAATAATAATAATAAGAATAAGAATAAGAATAAGAATAATAATAATAATAAATAATAATAATAATAATAATAAATAATAATAATAATGATAACAAATAATAAGGATAATAGTAACAATGATAATAACAATGATAATAATAATTATTATTATAGTAACGGTAATAATGACTATTTAAACCAATGACAAGCGTGACCAATCCAAATGCAATGAATATTTGTAATACAAAAGTATTGGAATGAAGAAAGAATGATTCATTCACTGATAGTACATTTCTCGTGTTACTCAAAGAAAAAAAAGCAAAAAACGATGTTACCCAAGTTAAATTACCCATAATTTCCTTCAGTTAAAAGTAACAACAATACAAATAAAAGAAAAGTCACCTAAATTAAATTACCCATAATTTCTTATTTCTTGTTTATTTTATTCCTTATTCCTTATCGCTTCTCAATCTATTAATAGATCGGCATTTTTTTACGGAATAAAAATACTGGAAATTATTGAAAGAGAAAAAGATAACATATGAGTGCTATTAATAAAATGTTATAAAAAATATTATGAGTGTTGTTAATAGATATTGGATAAAATGAAATGAAAGATATGAGATGTTAAAAATATTTACAAAGTTAAACGTAAATAGAAAATATTAAATTAATTATAAACAAAATAGTACTGATGAAAAATATTAATATTGTAGCATAAAGATGTGTAGGAGAAAGGAAAAAAAAAGTGAAGAAAAAAAGAGTTAATGAAATTTCAACAGATGATGTCCAATATTATTTTTTGGATTGCGATATCACACGAATGAAATGTTTGTTTATATTCATCAACTTTCTGATGTGTGTGTAATAAAATATCAATTTAACTATTAATCTTTAGCCTGAACGGTACAATCACAATCGTAATTAAAGATCTGATAGTTATAGAAATGTGTTGCCAATTACAAATTTAATAAATCAACCAAAGTTTTAAAATTAAAAAAATGCTTCAGATTTTAAACCTAATCTTATAATATACTAAAATATTTAAGATTAACAAGCTGTAATCCAAAAATATTCTTCAAATTTTAGCCCTTTAAATTATTGCGAATTTGAAAATATATCGTATTTGAAAATGTGTCGAATGTCAAATTTGAAAAATTGAAATTGAAAAACTAAGAAATTGAAAAAAATTGGAATTGAAAACGTATCGAATTTGAAAATGTATGGATAGAAATGCATCGTACATTTTACGCTTTAATCGTTCAAATTAACATAAACTGCAAATTTTGGAATTATAGCTTAATAGCTTTAAACTTTAATCGTTTCGTTTCATTTCTCAGAATCTCAAGTTTAATGAGATTGAAAAGAGAGGACAGAAAAATCATGCGGAAGTAAAGAAAACACTAAAAAAGATTTTGAAAAAAAGATTAAAATATTTCAAGGAGAAAAAAAATACTTGATTACCGATTTTTCTTCACGTAACTTTTGAAATGAGCATTGAAATTTTTCAAAAATTCTTGCACTTTCCTTAAATTTTCATGAAGGAAAAAGAAAAAAAAACTACCTTTATCAAACGAACATTGTGCCGTAACAAATCATTCATTTTTTCATCGAAGCAAACATTTTTCAGAAAATTCAAACTGATTAAAAATAGGTGAGAGGAAAAGATGAGGTGATGGAGGATAGGGCAAAGAAAGAAATTGAATTCGAGATTGTTTTTGAAATTTGAAGAAGTAACCAACATTTAATTACTCATACGGAATATTTCACACGAATAAATTCATCGAATCAAAAAAGAAAGCAATTGCAATTTTCATTTGCAAAAGATGAATTTCCGCTATATAATTTGATAACTTGAAAAAATAATTATAATTAAATTTCATCCACAAAAAAATGGGAAATGAGACTATTCGAAGCTAACAACAATTTCACTCCATTATTAGTTTAATTAGTGAAAGAAATGAAATGAAACAAACTAAAAAATTTAATTTACCATCAGTTGGAAGAAAGAGAGAAACGAATAACATATTACCTTTTCTTTTTTTCTTCCAATTTTTGATTAAAAAAAAGATTTCACTCCTCTAAGTATTTTATTAGAAGTGTTAAAATGTATCACACATACATATAAACGTATAGATAAATGATGTTGTCACATGTCATTCTTCTTCCAAACAATTAAATTTATTTCTCCGAAAAAAAAAAAAAAGGTATCAAAAGTTGTCCTTGAAAAGCTCCCTCACTATAGCTTTATCAAACAACACTGAACACTTCTTCGTCCTTTCCCTCCCCTGTATCATCATTGGGTAATTTCAGCTAACCTATAATTATATCATATCCTCATATAGGATCAATATTTGACCCTTCTTTCCATTATCAAAAATATTATTAATTAGAAATAGTCAATATCGTATATTTGCTTCCTTTTTCTTTCTTTCCTTTAATGATAAAAATTTTACAAGATAACAACAAAATCATACATGAATGACAACTATCGTATTATCACTTCCTCTTTTTTATCGTTTTTTTTTCTTTTAACTTTTCTATTTATACAACGAGTTTATGGATAATGGATAACTAATGAAAAACTAATTAACTAGCTTATGGACAAACTAATTAACTAGCTAACTAACTAACCTCAAAATTTCATACAACAAAATTTCGGCAGCAGCAAACAAATAATAGTAATAACAGTAATGATACAGAAAATAATAATAATAATCATTCACATACAAGTTATCATCAACTTTCCGACAATAAATCCGGTAACCATGAGACTTCCGGCACTATGCCATTCATCTCGTTTAGCTCATTTCAATTTTTTTCTTCACTCCCTCTCCGTCTAACATACACAACACACATACATACATACACAAAGACGGACACATACACACAGACAACAATAAACTGACCAAAGTAGATTCACTCAGTAAGTGTAATATATTAGATGTTCACATATTGCACACCCTCGTTCTATCATTACATCAGCATGTATCTATATATATATGTGTGTGTATGTGTATATGTGTATGTCTGTGTGTATGTATGTATATAGTGAATATATACATATGTGTTGTGTAAGTGTATGTGTCGTATGTTGTGTGTGTGTGTGTGTGTATGTATGTGTGTGTGTATGTATGTATGTGTGTGCATGTATGTGTGTGTATGTGTGTACTATATTTGTATGTATGTCGGAAGAGAAGGAAGAGAAAAAAGAGGAGGAAAAGGATGAGGACAGGAAACGAGTGAAACGTACAAAGCGTGACAGTATTGGCATGAATCCAACACGCAACGCAACGCAACGCAACGCAATCACATACCAGAATGTACGAAACCCGCATTATACAAACGCATAATAAATAAATGGATCCCATCAAAAATTGTTGCTCGCAACACTCTTGCGGGGAAATGTTCCCATTACTCTCAATGTAACACAATGAGACAGATAATATAACTGCATCTCGTTGTGTTACGATGATTCTGTTATGGCATTTTATTATATTTATGATATCGAGATGCATGGGTGACAGTGTCATAAATATGATATTGCTATTAGTTGTGACAAGTACTCCTATTTATATGATAACATGAGACAATAATGATTGCATTCATACATGCCATCTTTATTGTTACTATTATTATTACTTTTATTATTATCATTGTTATTATTACTATTAATTATCATTATTATTACCAATTATTATTATTATTATTATTATTATTATCATTATTAATTATTAATTATTACCAACAACAACAATAATAAAGGCCAGAGATTAAATTTAGGAATTAGATTTAAAGCATTAAAAATCCCTTCCATTTGGCTTTTTCTTTCCCATTTCACCGTTATAATGGTTGAAAAGAAAAAGAAAAAAAACTGACTCAGAATCAATTAATTTCATCATTCTTCATCTTTCAAACCCAATTCATATCTCATTCAAGAATTAATCTCCTCCACCCTATAGGCTTTGTCGTTTATTCTTGCATTAACACTTTCCTTTTATCCGCATTAAGGCCTTATTCATACATTACAACAAAATTGTTGAATAATTACTTCTCTATATTTAAAAAAAGAAGAAAAAAGAATATTTAAGATATTCAACATTATATAACGAATAAAAGAAAAGAGCGGAAGGAGAGAAGAGAGAGAGGGGGAAAGAAAGCAGATAGAAATGAGCGGAGGGAGAGGAGGGAGAAGGAGAGAGAGAGAGAGGGAGGGAGAAAGCAGATAGAAGGGAAATGAGTACAGCAATTATGAATAGCTAAAGTAATATAGCATAACCACAAACGAGATAAACTTCATTTCCTTCTGTTACTAAACTGATAATAGTTAACGTACGTATACATTTTCTTGTTCAATGTAGAAATGCACACGTACGTGTTCATTGTGCACGTACGTATATCCCCTAACATACCTATTAATAATATAGATTCATTTACAAGATAAAAAAAGGGAAAAATATCATCATATAGTCTCTCAGAGAGAGAAAGATCTCTCTCTCTTTTTTTTCTCTGTCTCATTTGATTGCCGGAAATGATGACAGTGATAGGATTATCAATTAGCATGCAAAAGAATTTTCCTTCTTCCACTTTCTAATTAGCATTAATACTCATACTGAAACAATCTAAAATAAAACAATCCATTACTTTAAGTTAAAATTGGAATAGATAAGTTAAAATAGGAATATTTCGAAATTTTCTCTTAACATTTACAAAACTCAATACTCAAAAAAAGAAAAAACTGAGAAAGTAAGTGTGCTAATTAATAACGATATTAATTATAGCCGAGGTAAAGATTTTTTTTTTGCTTGCAAAAGTAGGCAAATGAAAAAACTTTAATGATAATAATAATTAATGGCAACAATGATAATGATAATGATAATGATAATAATAATAATATTAATAATAATGATGATTAATAATAATAATAATATTAATAATAATGATGATTAATAATAATAATAATAATAATAATAGTGATAATAATAATAATAATAATAATAAAAATAGGAAGTTCGCCTTATTGTATTCATTTTCCAAAATTGATATTCCTAAAGAATATGCAAAATGCGCAAATGGACTAACAAAGGCATGGAAGGTGTAAAAGCTTTACGGAACATAGTTAAGCTTTAAAAAAATGGCATTTATAACATCATGAAATCATATCACACCTTTTATTGATCGTGAAATAAATCAAATAGGATGATGGATAATATGAGTGGTAGTAAATAAACAAAAGAAAAGAGAGAGGAAGGATATGAGCTATAGAAAGAGAATAGGGATGAGATAGATGAATGAGTAGACAGTGAAAGAATGAGAAAGAACGAGATATTAAATGAAGAGTGAGAAAAAAGATTGAAAATTGAAACAAAACTATCATCAATTCAATTTAACAAACTTTTCATCAAATTGGAGAGAAAAAAAAGGAATAAGATAAAAAGAATAAAAAGAATAAGAATGAAATTTTTGAAAGTTAATGAGATAATTTGATAATTTGTATTTTTTAAATAGTACCAATAGTATCAAAATTTGATAATAACAATGAATATTATGAAGCAGTAAAAAGGGGTCAAAGTTGAAAAAGTTAAAAATTCTGCAAGTGAAGGAAGGAAAAAAGATGGCTGATTATTTGAAAAACTTTCTAAATTACAAATATTAAGCAAAATTTCCAATCACATATTCCCTAACGGTTAATTTAATTTGATTTGTTTATTTACATTTGACGTAGTAACGTGTGCAGGTATTGCGTCACATGAACTATACGTCAACTACACGTTTCATTTTCCTTACATATACTGCATAGATACACGTAATTCACGCACAATCACCCCATATCATTTCAGCAAAATTTTATAAACATACGTTGGCTAGTTGGAACATCCGGAACGCACAAACAATGCTTGATGATTGATGAAGAAGTGATAGTACTAGTAGGAATAGACATGGGAAGGCAAGAAAAGAATTATGAGTGTGCAGAACATACAGAGGCACCGACACACACACACACACACACACAGATACATACGCATACGCATATATACATATACGCATGCATACATATGCACATACATACATACATACATTCATACACACATACAAACGTATACACACACATATATATACATACACACAACATTATAAATATGGTGAAAGGATTGATGTGGACAGAGAAATGAGGAAAAGATGAAATATGGAAGAATGAAGGGAGTGAGAAAAGAAAGGGAAAAGCAAAGAGATGCAAGTAAGTAGATTTGTAAGAGTGACCTGAGATAGTATATGAGTTGTTGGTTGATCTAAAATAAGAGCTAGAAACATATTTAGACACAAGATTACCCTAATTATCCCCTGGATGTCTAACAATTTAATAAATGAATAATTAACGGTAACTATTAATGGGAATGGATATGCTATGGTCAAGTATTTTATTGGTGACATTTCCGGAATGTTTCATCTTGTTAACATACATTTTAATCGATCGATAATGTCCCCTTAGTGTTGCTATAATCAAGTATTGGTGACAACTTCCGGAATGTTTCATCTTGTTAACATACATTTTAATCGATCGATAATGTACCCTTAGTGTTATGAGAACCTATTGTTATGAGATAATGTAATCACTAGTAAGAGATGTAAACTTTTAAACAATAGATGATATATCATCCTTCATCATCAAATATACTCTCATATATATATATGATGATGAATCATCGTTCGTTCAATGACCGCATGCATCAATAAATGACCAATATTGATGACCATCATTGGTATGATTTGGTCATTTAATTTGCATTAAATTCCATAATATGATTCTATATCACAATCATTTATTTATTTCTCATCTTGTAACATGTAATGATATGAATAATATATGCATCATAAATTAATGATATTTGAAATTTGAATGAATATAAATTTAATAAATTTTCAGATACCCAAAAAGTAAGGGTAAGATAAAGATAAGGTGAAGTTAGGGTAAGAGAAGAGAAGGGAAAGGAAAAATTCAATTTGTAATATAGCAAAATTTATGTGAACAATTTTTGTTGTTAGCAAAACTTTCATACATATTAATGATAAAAATCGTTAAATAATTAATTTATTAACATTCATTTAAAAAAAAAAAAAAAAAACGTATCACAATTAATTGTCACCCTTTTTTTTATTAATTATGAAACATTTTCAAATGTGTTTTGTAAAACTATTATTTACTGAATTTGAACTTAATTATAATAATCATCAATATCATCAATAAGATGGAATAGCTGAAGTTTTAGAAAATATTTTCAAGGTAAACATGCTAGTTACCATATGCAATAAATTAAGGTAATATTAGAAAAAGCTGACAATACTGGGCTAGTAGCCTACTTGTTATCGAATTAGATAGAGCAGATCCTGGAAATGTGGCCACTCTTTGGCAATCTTCCGTGAAAATATTGTGAAAATATTCAACTTATACGCTTAAAAAAAAGAAGCTGAAAAAAAGGCATATAATATTAGCTAAAATTGCTTTTAATGTCTTATTAACAATGATTATTTGTTTAGCAAATACAATCATTTTTGAATTTTGTATCCTTGTTTGTTTAGTAAATTTTCTTTTTTATAATAGAGTTGAATTTTATGGTTAATTTGTCCAGTAAATATTGTTATTATCATTTTCGAGTTGTTAAGTTTATTTGTTTGGCAAATGTTATTAATATCACTGTCGAATGCTTATTCGTTCAGCAATTTTTCTCTTGGTGATGTTAAATTGTGTATGCTTATTTATCCAGTAAATATTATTATTATCATTTTGGAATTGTTATATCAATTTGCTTAGTAAATGTTATTGATATTACTATCAAATTGTATATGTTTATTTGTCTAGTAAATATTAATATTATTGGTGTTGAAATGCACATATTTATTTGCCCAATAAATGCTATTATTGTGATCGTTGAATTTAAAATGAATAATAAATTAGTTTGATTGGAATTTTTGTTGTCTTAGCTGATTAAAAGTTCGATGACATATCTATAGGTTACACATAAACATATGGATAAATACTTATAAATTCATTTATATCTATTAATAATTCATAAATATTTATCCAAATATATCGATAAACAGAAATTTCTTTGCTGATAAAAATAATTTATGGTAAGAGGTGAAAGGTTAACAAAAAAAAAAAAAAAAAAAGAAAACGGGAAAAGGAGAGAGAGAAAAAGAAATGAAAACTTGAACCCCAGCAGGTGGTCTTAATTTTAAACTCGTCCCTTAATTTCATTTCACCTTTTTTCAACTCGTCAACTTCCATCACTCAATTAATGTCGAATTTTCAGATTTTTTTTTTCAAAAATTTTCATCAGATTTGCACAAAATTTATGTAAAAGGTTAATTTAAAATTTATGAATACAAAATTTTTTTTCATCACATCTGATATCATATATCATTAATCAGTTGCATCTCATTACATCAATTGATCATGATTTCGGAACAATTAAATGATTTGTTATGGTAATATGTAATTAGGTTCATTTGTATTAATTAATCATGTTTATTTATATCTTAGCTATCACTATGATCCTTTTTTTGCAATTAATTAAAAGTCAGTAGACAAATTTATTTCCACACGTTAATATATTTCAATTCAGAAATATGTTAAATGCAATTTATTTCAAATTTCATTATAAAAGAGTTAATAATAATTTAAATGAAATTTATGGTAATGAATATACCGAAAATTTATTTAATTTTTTAGCAAATGAATTTAATTGAACCGAACTACGGTAAGTTATAATAATTTATGCACAAAAATTATTTGGAATATTATTTTAACAAAGAATTAAATTTAAAAAAAGGAAATTTCTTAGATTATCTTACAAAACTTTTTCTCCAACATTTTCCTCATTCAAATAAGAATGATTTATAATAATTATCATGCAACAGTTTCTTCCATTCTTGAATGTTGTCATGTAAATTGCTTATATGTATGATCGACTAATTTCACTGATGATTAAGTTATTTCAAAAAATTTTGAGCTTTATAATTCTAAACTAATTACTATTGCCACCAATAATAATAATAAGAGTAATAATAATAATAATAATAATAATAATAATAATAATAATAATAATAATAATAATAATAATAATAATAATAATAATAATAATAATAATAATAATAATAATAATAATAATAATAATAATAATAATAATAATAATAATAATAATAATAATAATAATAATAATAATAATAATAATAANAA